CTAGTCTTCTGAAGACTTGTCATAGAGTGTGGTATTGGGTGGGGGGTGTTGATGACATGCTAGTCCTCTTGTGACCTGACACAGTCCAGAAGTGTGACACAGAGGGTTTTGCCAAAATTCCAAAGGGTTGTCTTTTCTTGCTCCATCTGCTGGTGCAGTTTGTCAATGACAAAACATTTTTTCTGGTTTTGTGGAAGAAAATGCTGTAAAGGGCACATGTTATGAATGCAGAAAAGTATAGAAGGGTTACAGAGAGGTATTGGAGGGTATAGGAAGGTGCTGCTGATTTTTTCTTTATTTTCTTTATTTTTTTTTGTGTGTTTGTCTTCCTTACATGGAGAAGACAGACAGTGTCTGACTCACAGGGTACAAAAGGGGAGGCAGACCTTGTTTAGAATGATGAAATGCATGGAGGTATATCCTGTCGCATTCCCTCGCATTCTTTCACACTAATGCACACACACTCACTAACACTCATGCACAGACATGAAATGTATTGTACGGAGATACAGTGGAGTCTGCTTACACTGAGTATGGTCAGTCCGAAAACGGTAGTAAACCAAAAGAAAATAGAAGTCCCAATTTTTTTTTCTTTGTTATTTGAGCAAGATCGCTAAACCGAAAAAAAATCTGGGGGCCCCACATATATCAGTTTAACCAGATTCCACTGCATATACTCACTTTATTACAAATTTACCCGCTCACTCACACTTATGCACACACACACAACATGTGTGATGGAGGTATTGACCCTCTCACACTTACTCACACTCTTTTACACCGGTGCACACACGCAAAATGTGTGGTATGGAGACCCTGTCACACTCACTTACGAGCTCAAACTGTGTTGTTACTCGTATGCTTTTTACGGGATGGACTTGTTGTCTTTATTTAGAGAGTGATTTATGTTCCAGGAACAGTTCAGTTGTGAATGTTGAATGACTGACGTGGGGTTTGTTTCCATACAATGCAACAGGTCTTCCAAATCTTCCTATGACTTAAGGATATATTAAAATTAACCTTCTTGACCGGCATCTGTGGCGTACTGGTTATGCTTTTCACCTTCTCATATATGGAATTTCTGAGTTCAGTTCGTAGGTAGGGGAGGTAATGAGAGCAGACAGTGTTGGGCCAAAGTGACTTATTTATCATATGTACTAGCATAACTCCACTCTGCATTCCCTCAGTTTTGCAAGGCAAGGGGAAGTGTGATGAACTCTGGCATGTGAGTGACATTTTGTTTATGTCTACAGTTCATTAATCAACCAGTGGCTGTGGTGTAGTGGTTAGGCTCGTCATCATTGCCAGCAAGAGATACAAGTTTGAATCTGACTTAGAAAGTGTCTATTAGGTAGGAAGTGTTTCATTTTATCAAGTGTCTATGTCTTTTTTTCTTGATTTACTGTGTGCCATATGGTTGACCCCGATAAGCAGAGTCGGTACTGTGGGCCAAGGCTACTACAGGATTGCAGACTGCGGGGGTGGATGTGATATCCCGATTTTGCCGAACGTTGTTATAATACTGTTATAGACGGAGATCACTTTCGCTTACACCGCACAGTTACTAATGATTAACCAATGGGATCAATTTTATTACATAGATTACCCACTACCAGTTTATCAGTTACTGCTATTTTCTGTGCTTGACATATTTTTTTTCCTCCTCATTTTTAGCTTCCTTTTTCTAGTATCTTTGTCTCATGGAGGTTACCTTAAATAAATCAGAGATGTACAGGTATTGTTAATTATAATGCTCGCATTTAGCACATATTTATGCTATAGTCTACAGTATGCTCTGTGTGCTTAAAAAACTAATTCAAATAGCCGATCCACTTTTGGGAAAAGAACTCGCATAGATCTATGGTAGATCTAGTGTGTGGTACGTACTTTTCATTTAAAATCAATCATTTATTCTTATTTGTCTTGTCATTCAACGGAGACACAATGTGACGATGTATCAGACCACGGTCATGATAAGTCATTGACTGGATTTGCATCAACACCAAAGTGCATCCAGCTTTCGGCCCCTCCTCCCTGCTTTGCTCACACGGTACTATGCATCATAAAATGTGTACACAATCAACTTAGACCTACTGTGGGTCATGTAGGTGCAATTCGCCATCAATGTTAGCCGTTGTTTTGCCTCATTTTTGTTTTTTATATGCTATTTTGTCCATTTGTTTAAGGATTTTGTTGATGGGTGGACCACTGTTATAAGTTATAGCTGAGTACGTCTGTCGGAATGCCTGTTATAAAAGAAGTTTTTTCAATTTTATATTATGTTATAAAGAGGTAGGACTATGGGATTTATTATAAGCCTGCTATAGCCAAAATTCTGTTATAACCAAGACTCATAAGCGGGGCCCACTAATCTAAATTGTGTCAATGAGAGTGTGAAACATTTACACTAAAAGGCAATAGTTTGCCACTTATCGATGTGTGAATTCATGTCTTGTAAACATTAAATGGTATGTATACCATTAGTGGTATGTTCAGTGTGTGGATATTTTTTATGTGTGCGGCTCATTCCATGACTCTCTATGCACATTCTGCCCCACAGTATTGCTTGCTGCATGTTCTCTTAGCTCTTGAACTGGCGCTGTTTCATGGTAGGCTATATGTTTGTATGTTTTATCACGGGAAATATGTGCTCTGTGTGTTTGTACATTTTACCATAGCTTTAAAAGAAGCATCTGTGTTTGTGTTTTATCATAGCATTATGGAAAACATGTGCTCTACGTATTTGTACGTTCTATTGTTGCCCGCGCATTATAGAATAGGTATTCTCAATGTGTTTGTACATTTGTACATTTTTTTATCATTGCCTGGCATGGAAAAAAGTACGCTCAATGTGTTTGTATGTTTAATCATTGCAAAGCATCATGGGATACATATCCTCCACTTGTCATTGCCTAGCATTATGAGATACACATATGCTCTAGATGTTTTTATATTTTATTATTGCCTTGCATTTTGTGATACAAATATTGTGCGATACTCAACAATAACATATCTTTCTGGTTTGTCATGAGCCAAAAAGTTGTTTGCCAAGACAGTTTTTGGCCTGATACCTGGCAACAAGCTTGTTATATTGTCTATGTTATTCTATGAATGTGAAAGCCATTGACAGGAATTTTTTTAGGAGTAAGAAAAGAAGGGATGCTTTTGCCTCTCTTAGTCTTTGCTTTTCAGCATTTAGATCACAGGGTTAAATACCAGTCCTACGGGTACAAGATTTGGAATCTTTATGCACTTCTTACCTTTCAAATATCTATCGTCCTTATCTCTCCTCCTAAAAAAAGAAAAAATGTATTTTTCTCTCTAGTATCACCTCTGATCTTCGGCACTTGTGTGACCTAAGTGTGTTGCAAGTGCCATAAAACTCTTACTTAAACTAAACTATATATGGCTGAAGATAAAGGTCAAAAGATTCTGTACTTATGCATTTAGGGAAGTTCACCAAGGACATTATTGGTGTTTTTTAATGGTGAGACTGGGACAGGTGTGACTCTAGTGACCAGCACACAGTTGTTTATTGATGGTAATTTTTGTGGAATTTGGTTTCAGTGTCGAGTTACGATTGTTTTATTTTATCCGGACCATATAATTTTTCATAAGAGTTATTTTAAGAGTGAACATGACAATTGGCTGTTTGTTGTGTGCGTGACTGTGGTGATAAAATGTGGCCCAAGTGTACGGCAAAAACCCGCTCAACTTACCTGTAATGTCCAAGTACAGTAGTAAAGAAATGGTTTGACATGGCGCCAAGATTGCAGTGTGCTTGTCTCTTTGTCTCTCTCTATATATATGTATGTACATGAAAGGCATTGTATGAAAATGGTTGTCTCTAATGTAATACTCTTACTAACGTTTTCCCTTAGATCACAAAAAATGTGAGGAAAGCAATTTTTTTTTTACTGCTTTGATTCAGTTTTTTTCATCAGCGGCATACAGAACGAAAATCGGATAATTACCAAGTTTATACTTCTTGGATAAAACATGTTTTATCAAAAAGCCCTTCATAATGCTCTGTTGTTTTTTTTGTCTCAATCATTAAATATTACTAAATAGGCTACAGCAACTTGTAGGCTGACTCGAAATCCATGTTTGAAATCGTACTCTGTACATAGAGTCTATAATTAACCCCCATCTCTGTACATGGAATCCATTTTTAACTTTTAACTACTTCACTGTACAACCTGAGACCATTTTTAGGCATGGGAGGAGGGTAAATGAGAAATACCTATTCCCAATCAGTAACTCATTGACTGCAGCTTTCCGCAACTGCCTAGACCGATTGAGGGTCAGTAAATAGTGTAAAAACTGGGAAAAAATTGTCATCGACAGAGGTGTGGGTTTGGTGGTTCTCGTATGTCTAGGCCTACCGACACAGTATCATTATCGGAAGTCACTGACTTAATAAATCATGTACAGATTCTTTTACAAAATAGTTGGGATCTACGTATTTTAAGTCACTTTTGTGACCATCTAGTTTCATTTAGAGGCAAAATACTGCTGATAAAAAAATGCCTGTAGTATCTCGTCTCACCAAAAAGAAAACGGACAAATGTATTGGCATCGTTTTGTGACTGCTGTTAAGTAATATCATTCA